ATTAAGATGTGGGTCTTAAAGCCCGAGATACAGCTGCGCCCCGGCGCGTCGCTGGTGCCGAGAATCGAATATTGCATGCATAAATGCATGCCTATCTCCCCATGGAAATAACGCAAAGGTCGAGCAATACATCACGAATAATTGGAGTGAGCGCGAGGTCTTTGGTAGCTCGGTAATTAAATCACCGGTTCGAGATTAATAGAATGATCGTTATTAAACGGAGCATTATAATGTTAGAACTTTATTTCAGGCGGTTTATCGAGAAACGCCCTGAGCGATTACTTCGCTCGAGTTCGGGATAACTGCTAATTGCCGGTTGGTAGTTACGTAGCACCATCGAAAGTCCGACACGGCGAACTATTGGAAAACTTGAAAAAATGACAAACGATAATACGTACATGCAGATACATACATACAGAATGTGTCCGACACAATTCACGACACGTTCGTTCGATGTGCAGATAAAGCTCGTCAAACTGAGCACAGATAGTTCCTCTACCATTTCGCAAACACCCACGCAAAATTTTGAATTGTTAATTAAAGAAAATCGGCGAATAATCACGCGCGATACAGCGGATAAGCTGCGATGACGACATTGCTTGTACTTTAGGTCAAACTCAACAGAAATATTGTCTGCTTTTTTTACAAATGGCCACGTAGATTCTTGGCTATTAATTGGCAAAGATTGATGCACATAATTGTGCAATTAATAACTAAAGATCTATATAGCCATTTGCAAAATGGTAGAGGAATTGTTTTTTTCAGTTTGACATAATCATAAAATACACGACGTTGCCGTCATAGCTTTTATATATATATATATATATATATATATATATATATATATATATATATCTGCCATACACTGAAAAACCCATTTAGTTAATTAAAATTTGGTTAAATAATTCGATTAATAATTTGGCTGGAACAAATGTTTTGGTTGTGAGAACCAATATTTGGTACTTTGAGCCAAAGATATGATTTTTTGAAACGAAAATAAAACAAGTCTAGTTTCGGAGAATCAAATCTTTGGAAAGAACGAAATTTTGGCCCTCACAACCGAAACATTTGTTCGACTCTATTTTAACCAAATTTTGGTTAATCTAATTGAATGAATTTTTCAGTGTGCCGCGCGTGATTATTTGCTAATCTTTCTTAATTGATAACTAAAAACTTTATGCGATTCTTTGCAAAATGATAGAGGATTTTTGTGTTCAATTTGATCTAATCTATATATATACAAAGTGTGGGACACTTTGCGCTCTGACCTTCTATATATTTTTTCCCCTTCCGACAGAGACGTGTCCATGCAAGTTTTTCTTGAGCAGATGAGTTAATAATCCAATCAATTACGCCCAGCTGCGGTATACTTCGAGACGCGCCGGATGGAAGTACAATCCCATCAGATTACACTTATATTTCCTGCACGCGTCTCTCGGGGGTGCGCCGAGCGATTCGATACTTAGATTTGCGATTAAAATATCCCCGGGTCCAACTCGTCGCTAAGTAGGTCGACGCTTCGTTCAAGCAAGATCATCTTCGAAGACGATTGCGAGTCTCACGCGCGGCTGACCACCAATATATATTCCGCGCCGGGAGCAACTCGAAACGCAAATGAGTGGGCGAATCGATACGCCCGGTCGGGTGAATTTCCGACGTGCGGCGAGATCGCCGTTGAAGTTGTCATCGAGTGATCGTAATCACCGGTCATTCGGTTACTGCTGCGCAGTTGTCCAGAGTACTGAGAGAGACTCTCGCGAATTACACTTACTGTGTCGTCGCGAGACAAAGAGACGTATAACGTCGGAGCTGGTTTTACGATCGCTCGATGGCGTGTATCGATTTTTAATAAAAGGCTACCTAATAATAACTCTTCCTTGGTAAAAACCGGCATCTGCGTCATTTGCGCCTCGGATAGAATATCATGCCGATGGGTATTTGCGATGCAAATGAGAGATACGCGAAATATCGCGTTAGGGTGTACATTTTTCCTCGCGGATGTGCCGTGAACGTGCCGTTTCTCACCGATCTTAAGGTAAAAGCACCAATTCCCAAGTATCGAGCCCAATTCCAGGGAAGCGAAACTGACAAATTTATGTTGGGTAATTTCATATATGTTGCTTGATAAAGTAACCATAACGCATATCGCATTAAGGCTATATAAAGTAAACGAATTAAAGCTACATAAACTCGCTTACTACAAAATAGTAAGATCAAAATACTAATGTTCGAGCACTTAACGTACTAAATTCTGGATGTTATTATTTTCAAAGAGTCTTTTTTACGGTCAAGTTTAATCCTATTTTGTGACATTCGAGATCATAAGTTATTTTTTTATTAAATTGTAGCTGTTCATGAATTGATTAAAAATATACACGGGGAGAATATTGTAGTAAAAATTACAATATAATTTTAGTAGTCCGAGAATAGACTGGCACCACATTACGAAAATTATAATAAAACATAATAAAAATGACCATAAACATGATAATTTTTACTATGTCTTTTATGATTATTTTTATTATGTTCATGGTCATTTTTACTATGTTTTATTATAATTTTCATCATAGTGTTAGTCTATTCTCGGAGTACTAAAATTGTATTGTAATTTTTACAATATTCTCTCGTATATAAGTATCAAAGTTATGTGTTATCATTTAGGAGAAAATGGTTAAAAAGATGTGTTCTATCAAAATAAATGGTGCCGTTAGGACCCTTACAGGAAATATAGAAAATGTTGCAAGAAATGTGAGATGAAAGTTCATTCGAATAAAATGTTTTTTATCAATAAAATAACACGGATTATAAATGGTAATAATTATTAATTTAAAGTAATTTTTACTAAACTCCGATTACCTTAATTAATTGTCGATTAATTCCATTGTGACCAGCAGATAACTGTTGTCCAATTTTGCTAATTATAACGGAATTAATCGAAGCTTAAGTTAAGCTCGTTAAGGAGACTTAAAAGTCACCTTAAATTAATAAATTTTAACATTAGATTATTTCATAATCCATATTATTTTATTGATAAGGACTTTCATCTTCCATTCCTTGCAACATTTCCAATACATTTCTCATAAGGAATGACTAGTTTCTAATGACAAATTACTTCATCTTCATTATTTCGTTCCATATTGATGTCTTCATTAGTTTGGGATTTATATGGCTGGTACACTTCTTCCAAGTGTTCAGTAAAAACATTCGCCTTCTCTCTTCGCTATTTTCCTCGTCCTCAGTGATATAAAATTCACGTTCGACGCGAGCTCCTGCTGCTTTCAGTCCGCGCGGAAAAGCCGTCCGCGATAACACGAAATCGCGTCGATATGAAATTTCAATTACTGATACGCGTATCAGCGGGCGGCGGCGCTATTGGTGAAACCGAGAGGCTGTCTTGCCTCGAGCGATAAAGGAACTGGGGCAACCCGAGTTATTGGGGAAGAATGACGCTTGACCGGGACGATTTTACGAGACGCTGCGCTGGCGCGATTTCGCTGTCGCGGCTCGCGAAGAAGTCGTCGTGACATCTCTTTCTTTCCCCTTGTCTGCGCAAAGAAAACGTCGCCGAAGCCGTGCTTCCGTTGTCCGGGAGAAAAGTTTCCGTGACGGACGCCGGGTCGGCATTAACGCCGCCTCGGATGGCGCTTTTGTTTATAATAAAGCGCGTCTCATCATTTTTTTTCTCGTCCTGTCTCGTTCCCGGTGAAGACTTGAGAAGCGTGCATCAGCGAGCACCGTTAGCGTGTCACGTCGAATTTATTAATCGTTCTCATGTACTTTTCAAAGCAAACTCGCGCGCTCACGATCGAATCGTTACGGGACGGGCTCGCCCGCCATCGGCCGCGATGAGTCGCGAAAATTGCCGCCCCAGCACTCGACATTCCTGGCAGCGCGAAAACGCGCGCGTGTAAACTTTATCGAAGGAGTGTCTCAGTGCCGGAGAAAGAGAGAGAGAGAGAGAGAGAGGGGGAGAAAGAGATTACGGATCGTTAGCCGAGACTCGACGGAGGAATCCACGCTCGGGAACGTCAGTCGCGCGGAGACAATCTCCTTATTCCGCCTGCATATTGGCTCGACGATCGCACGATGGAAAACGAGATTTTCCGCACGAAGGAATCCGCTATTTATTCGATAAATTCCCTAAAGGATAGTCTGCTGCTGCTGCACACAGCAACAGACCGGGATAATACGCCGACAAACAAAGCGTCGGTCGATCTTGAGTGAAACGGACTCGTTGTTGCGCGCCGATAAATATTTAACGAGACAAAGCGGCAATCAGTTAATTAGCCGCTGATCAGGCGCGCCGCTAATCCTTCGTTCGTTTGTTCATTTCGCGCGAGCTTCGCTCCAATATGTTTGGGCAATCTTTCCTCCGTGAGAACGAATGCCCATACGCATCTACGGCGATTATTTGTGCACGCTTGGCCGAATCGTAATTGGCCTATTTGGCAGTTGCATAAAATACGCCGCGATACTTCGGCGATATTCGAGCGTATCGCACGTCACACGACTAAATGACACGCCGGTGGAACGAGAAAGAACAAAAAAAAAATCGCTCGCAAATAAACAACGTTCCCATATGACGTTTAATTTTTCATGCGACAATTAACGCGCCCGCCACCGCCGGGATCGCCCGCGCTCTCGCTCCCATCGTGCCGCGGGCTCCCGCGTTACATTTTCTCCGACGGCGATTTTATTTTTACTCGTGTTGCTTTATTGCTCTCTATAAATAGAAAGATCGGTGCCACTTGTATCATATTGCAAGAATAAACGTAGAGATGCGGAATAGCCGGAAATTCCTAATACTCGGCAACAATCAAGTTATTATAGGAAACGTGAGATTATATTAAGATCTCTTACTCCAAGCTAGACAACACGATCGATCCCAGAATCGCGTTAACGATGCGAAACGATACGAAATGTAAAACGCACTCGCCGGTCGGCCAATTACGACTTCGCCAAAGACGAGAGTGAAAGAGTACGAAATGTGAATTACGAACCGATCGTCGAGCGTGTCTGGGACTGGACTATCGGATTGTTGTTCGCCTCGGCGTTCGTCGGCTGCGAGCGGTCGGACGTGACGATGGTCGTCGAGACGGTATTATTGGTGCTGCCGAGCACGGATGTCGCCGAGGTGGAGGACGTTGAGGACGGATTCGTAGCGTTCGCCGACGGCTTCGACGACCAGGAGCTGCAGGTGTCGCAGCCTTCGGCGGAACGTGTCGATAATCGGCAGCAGGACCAGCGTTTGCCGCTCCACAGACCGGCGTGATAGCGCCCGCTTAAACCTGGATTCTCACTGCACACTGCAAACGAACGGTGTCGTTAGTAACGGTGTTTGCTAATGGCGATATCATTTTGGAGAGAACAGCATATCGTGCGCAATAAAGTAACAACTGTATATCGCTCAAACAAATAACAGATTGCGCGGCTGACGCGTTTGTTGGTCTCTCTTATTTATGTCGGCGTAAAGCGCAGGCAACCGAGATGCCGTGAGAGATCCGCCTTGGGATTTATTTTATAAGATTTGGGCGGATAAAAGAGTCTTGAAGAAGAAAGAGAGCTCGCTCGATAATCATTCGTTTCTTTCGTCTAAGCAATCTCCCGAAGAATCTCAAACTTCGACAGTAATCGAAATCATTTTTTCCGCAGTGTGAATCCTCGCGAATTTTTCACGAGGAGGTCGTGCATCCGAGGAAGCTAACGACTATTCGGCATTTTGAATGCCTTCGGCATTTGTGCGAGGCCCTCGGTGGTCGATGTCGAGGCAGATATCGCAATCGCGGGGTTGATACGCGCTTATCAGAGCGCGATTGGGAGCACACCACAGAAGGAAACGTCGACGAGTGAATCAGGTCGCGGTTGAATAGCGTGAAATGTCCGAGAAGGAAGCAAGTGGAGCGAGATAGACGACTTACCCGCGCGTATGGCGCGTATCCATTCGGCGCGGTCCTGCTCGCGCGCAGCGAGGAGATAGAGCGTGTACTCCTGACCAGCTTCCCGGTACCCGACCTGGAAGGGTAGCCCGGACGGTACCCCGCCACCTCCGCCGCCTGCGTCGCCGGCCGCCACGTCGCCGATGCCGCCTCCACCACCGGTGCTGTTATTCCCCAGATTCGCCGTTTCCACCACGTGGACACTCTCCACGGCGATCCGTCCGCGTTCCTTGCGGCGCTGTAACGGAAGACAATTAATGTTTATAAGTTCATTAAAGCGACTTGCAGCCGCTCGCTAACTAAGAGCAACTGCGACCGTCTCTCTCGGCGAAAGTTGCCCGCGATTATATGGTTGAATAATGGCTGGATGTATGTCAGATCCTTCGAGTTTGTTTTGCATTAAAATTTCATATCGTTGTACCTCACGTCTCGTGAGTCTCTGTTTCTCAGACGGTTCGAAGTAGTGCGCGAGTAGAATTCTATTTGCGAGGGGACGTTCGAAGAATAGAGTGGAGTCTTTGCGACAGGTGGCATATAAAATTACAAGCAGAAATCAGTCGCGAATTCCGTCGTGAATTATGGATCACCCGAGAGCGAAGCTTTAAAGGACTTCCGCGAGAAGATGCATCGTCGAGATCCTGACGAATTACAATAAGGAAATTTCTCCTGTACAACGGCAGCAACGAATCAATCTTCCCGATATCAGTGTGATATAGCCGCGTTACAGCTGAGAAAAGTAATTTACGAGCGCGAACGGCATCGCGAGCGATTCTCTCCGGGGACATTCGTACTGGAATTCGAAATACGGGTACGCGCAACATGGATTTTCCATCCATCTATCCATGCGACGAGAGCGCGTCTAATGCGCGACGACGGCGCAGGAAAGCAAGAGGGGGGAGAGAGGAGGAGCGGAAGCGGAGCAAGGGCTGCAAGAGAAAATGCGACTTAAACCTTTCTTTACCTCCACGTTGTACGTTAGATCTAGCGACGCGGCGAACAAGACAAATCCGACGAGGTCGATATCTCTCGGACGATCCGCACGTGGACTAGCCTTGTGTCTCGGCTCGGAATCGTTACAGTCCGATGCGACGGACGAGTGTCCCCTTCGACGCTCCGATCTTCTTAATCGGAACAACCGACTTGCGCGTGATGCGAAGAAGAAAGAAGTCGAAATTACAACTGCATCCGGATATCCGTGTTCGTGTGCGTTCTACTATTCGGTTGAGTCAATAAATATACAATATAGCTCGATTCTTCGTCGTTAGATTCCGCAGATCAGGTGGAACCTGGACCAAAGAGTGTCGGATCAGGATCCGCCAGGAAGCGACCTAGTGCATCGAGGACCAACGCGCGCGCCTGCTCTTGATTCCTTCGCGCGAACTCGACCGCTCTCGACGAGAGATTAAGGACTCGTCATAGACTCGTCCGAAGGATCATCCAAAGGATCGTCCGCGGCAGGAGCTTAAAGAAAGAGAGAGAGAGACAGAGAGAGTGTGTATATGTGAGAGAGAAAGAGAGCGGAAGTGGGTTTTCGACAACTGTACGTTCGCGCTTCGCCGAGACCGATCCCCGAACGACGGCCACTGACTGAGCGGGCAGCATCAGGAACCCGACGACGGAGGAGCGAGAAGAAAGGACGAAGAGGAAGAGGAGGAGAAAGAGGGTAGGACGGAGGACTTGGGGCGCCTGCGCCACCAATTTTACACACGGTATCACGGGGATGCACGCTATCCACCCCTTCCTACCGAAAGCAGCCCGGTCCACCTAACGGCTCGCTTAACTATAGAGATAGCTATTGGCATTAGCCACGACCACCACGTAGTTACTGAGCCGACAGTTACTGACTATCTACCGTCCTGCTCGATGCGAGATTGAAGAGACGATGTTGTCGCGACATAGACGGGATTAATCTTCACGTTGGGCACGTTGTTCCAAGCAACGAAAATCGCTATACATGGGGACCGCGTTTACCAGTTATTATCGACACTATAACTATCGAGATTGACCGTTATTATGGTGTAATTAATTGGCAATCATTGGCAAGCTCTATATCCAGGAAGACAGCTACATCAATCCGACTAATATTTCAAAAACTAAAGAATAAAACTTACACTAAAGTTGAGAGAAGTTTTAGATTTTGAAAGATTTATTGACTGATTGGACAACATTTGTGATTGGATTAGACATTTTCTTCTGAGACATAGAACTGGGGAAACTTGTGTGTCTAATTTGTTGCTGTTGCTTTCAAATTAAATATAATAAAGTTTATGTAATTATATATGTATAAAGAGGAAAAATTACATACTGAGGAAAAATGGTGTTTGTAACTATAATCACATAGAGAAATAATTACTATAAATTATGGTCACACAAAAAATTACTTTTTTATTAAATTTTATTATAATATTAATGATAATATAACTTTATATGTATATTATTGCTATTATTTATTAGAACATCCAAAATATATAGTTGGGACAAAAAATAACTGTAATTGTAGTTAAATCAACTAGTTTTTCTCTCAGAGGATATACAAGTTCATAATCATTTATGTATATGTATACATGTATATATGAATGTTCATATATATACTCTACAATTTGTAACTTTAATTTTCATGATAAATTGATAGTTTTCTCTTCAGTAAACAAATATTAATATGGATACAAAGTATGAAATATTCTATATAAGCACAGTATGATAACATTTCCAATATTTAGTTGTTTATTATGTTCTCCTTAATAACAGTTTTATGATAAAAAAAGAATTTTATAGGAACAAAAAGATCTTACTGAAAGAATGAAGAAACTCAAAGTATGGATGCCTATTATTATCACATATATGTTGTGTGTGATTGGTACAATGTGTAAGTGAAAAATATATGTGAAATATTGTGAAAAGTGAAAAATTAGATGTATGTATACCATACTTTGCTTGATTTTATTATCAAGATTAGCATCGAGATACTTCAAGTTTTTAAAATAACTCACCTCACCATCCCCATCGTAGTAAACAAGGTAGCGTTTGGTCAACACAAACCATCGTTGCTTATAATTGACTGGAGTAAAGCGTTTCTTGTTTTGGGACCGTTTTACCATAAATCCTTGCCGAATGACATCCCCATCTTTTGACTCTAGCTTCCCATCTTTCCCAGCCATTACAGATGGGGGGCCACCCTAGCAACAGCAACAACAGAAGTTTTAAATACAACAATAAAGCTTCATTGGGAAGCAAATATTTCACTGCACAGTTTGAGTCTCATAGAATTACAATTGACATTCTGTTACACCATATACCAACTTGGCATACTTCTCAAAATACATATAAAGTACCATGATAGATATACAAAAATCTATAAGAGATACAAATATATATTCAAATTCCTTGTAAGATGGCGTATCTTACTATATCCGGTTTATCTCAAATCACAAAGGATGCAAATCCACTTCTAAATTTAGCATATCGAAATTACTTTTTCCTGTTTTATCACCCGCTTCCTGTCATGCAATTCGTCTCACGTATCAATTAACGAGTGATTATTATTTCTCGCTGTTGCCGTCAGGCATGGCTACACTTTTGCATAACTACGCGGAATGAAAGAAAAACGCGAGCGGATGTCGCCGAAATCCCGAAGGTGTCAGTGCACCAAAGCAGGAGCAACACCGCGAGGGACACCGTACGCGGTTATTCCAACGTTTAATAATTCGAATTCGACACTCGACGCTACGTGTACGGGCTTATCAGCGATGCCGGCGACACCCGAGCGGGATCTAAACACTTACCATGCAACAGATATGCGGCTACTACCTCGCGATTCCGATACTTGTCAAAAACATGACCGGCGCCCAACAAAGAATTCACGTGGAACAGACGCATACACACACCGACAATCTGTCAAACGAGAAGACGTCTCGCGGCGACGTTGGAAATACACGAGATATCAGGAAATGCCGCACTACGCTAGTCAAGATGGCAGCCCGGCCGCCGTGAATAAAGAAACGCGCGCGATCAACGGGATGCGACAAGACGACATTTCGACGCGCCGGTATCTCATGCGAATACCGCAAAAAAACGCTGAAAATCTCGCTCCGTATAGCACACGCGATATAAACAGCCGAGGCACTCGTTGACTCAAGTGACCTGTAACATAACAAAATGGTGGACTAGGTAGCGCTACTGTCGCGTGCGTTGTTTTGTTTTGCCTACATACTCGCTCGTAGGGTGATCGTCCCGTGTTAGCATACATTCGAAATACTCGTGTTCGTGGAACATTTTTTTAAGCAGTCGCTTAAAGAGCGAGGACAAGAATAAACTGCTTTACGATTGGCACTGAAGATTTGCGAGCAGACTCGAGTGATACGTGTTAATGTAAACGTGTGAACGTGATATAACCTATTTATTTGCCAGGTTCGGTAACTGAAAATTGTCGGCGAGTCGTTCGTCGCTGTTCACTCACGTTGACAGTAGATATTAACAAGATATTAGATAGATTTGATATTAACAAGATATGGCAGCCCCCGAAGCGATACAAGTCAGTTCCTTACCGTTACCACCCGTTCAATACATAAATGTGTACACGGACGAGAATGTACGACGTGGACGAGTTCCGCGACCACCGCCGCCGATCCACGATAATTACAGTATGTTCGGCAACGTGTTTAACGCGGAGGACACGATCATCAGGCCACTGGAAGCTCAGGGTATCAAAAGACTGTACCCGCAACACTTTGATCGTCGACGTGAACTGAAAAAGCTCAATCACTCTCTGCTTGTAAATTTCTTGGATTTGATAGACTTGCTCGTTCAATGCCCCGACAGTCCAAGACGTGCAGAAAAGGTACGTGCAACTTGTATATGCACAATTTGAACGTCAAAGATTACAAATAAATATCGTAAAAAATATAAATCAGTTGTAGGCAAAAACCAATGTTGTTCAAATCTATATTTCTACTTGTTATTGTTAGATCAAAATAATACTAGTTTCAAAATATCCAAATTATTTCAAGTTATCTTCATAATAATCTTTGTAGGTTGAAGATTTGAGTTTGTTATTTATTCATATTCATCATCTACTGAATGAGTTTAGACCACATCAAGCCAGAGAAACATTACGTGTAATGATGGAATTACAACGTAGACAACGGCTTGAAACTGCAATGCGTTTTCAGAAGCATCTTGAAAAGGTACTTTTGTTAGTGAAAATATAACACTTATAATATGTACACACACAAGTATTAACCACTCATTATTGTTGCATGATATATATATTATTGCAGGTCCAGGAAATACTGCAGCAAGCTTTACAAATGCTCCCAGACGCAGAACTGGATTCCAAACTTGCAATAAACACAGATGCTATGGAGTCTGTAGATAACTTAGGTTTTGAGCAACAGACTATAGATCCATGTTGTCCAAGTGATCGTATTATGTGCAAAGTGATAGACGACATTATTTCTTCAAATGGATTGTTTTAAGATTACTTGCTTCAAAGTGTTTACCATCCTATGAATGGACAGATATGCTATACAGATTGTACATATAAGTTATAGTAAAATATTATAAATGTATAATTCCTTTAGTGTTACATGATAATTTGTATTCAAGTAATCTGGAACTATTAAAATATCTTTTAAAGTTTTCTACTCTATTAAAGTATAACTATCACTCCTACAATTAGTATTCCTCCAACAGATTGTAATGATCCTTTTGAAATTAATATTTTATTTGTATATTAGTAATACATATATGACATATAACTAAGACATATAGTTGTATTCTAAATTTAGGTAGATTCACATTACATATATATATGTATATATATATATGATCTAGCACACTTGAATTAAACAACTATACAATATATAACATATTAGATGTACATATATAGACAAACATGCATACAGTTTACCTGCTTGCTTTCAGAATCGACTGTTAAATTACTTTTTTTTTAAGTTATTTCTTCAATGCATTTACTTGGGTAAAAAAACACCATATAATATTAAATAATATTATTTATTGAAACAATTAGAAACAAATTCACGAATTGCATATAACACAAAGTACTTTTACATGATAGTGATGGATAGGGAAAGGAAAGCAGAACATTTTTTTAAACTCACCTCACAAAACAGCAATCACCAAGAAGATATACATATTATTTGACAGAAAATAAATATAATACGGGACGTGCCATCAGCACCTGGAAAAAATAGTGATTAGTTTCCAAGTTGTTCCTGGCTCCAGATCCATCCTTAAGAGATTTCTGTAATTAAATATTATGTGCATTCACAAATAATGCAGCATTGGCTCTTAAATGTCCAAACCTCTTGTAGATACATGTTCTCTGTAAAAGAAAAATAGTGTAAAAGAAAATAGCTGCTCCACTTCATCGAAGAAACACAGACTTATATTAGTTTAAAAAAAATTTACATTAACATATATCTCAAATATTTTAGCAAATTTCATTAGGAAGATATGTAAATATATAGTATGATATTACACCGTAATTTTTGTGGAAATAGCAAAAGCAAATTCTACAAAAGTTACACATTTAGTGTTTCCATAAAATGAGAAATTTATTCAATGTTTCTTCGATTAAATTGCCTTTGCTGACAGCAGATCCCTCCTGTTCATAGCCTGGTCCTGTTAACAGACAAATACTAACAAATATAAGAGTTTGGATATAGGAGAGTTAATTTAGGAGTGAATATGAGGTTATATTGGATTGTTTTATCTGCTGTTTCTCAACGTGAAAACAGCTGCCAATTTTTTCCCATAAGCTTCTGTGACCATGACATTATATCGATGATATTTGTCTTCAAACAGTGGTTGTCTTCAAAGAATGGTTTCAAGCTTGAATTTGGCATCATTATGGTATTTTTAGTTATAGATATCTTCTTATTAATTTACTCCCATTTCTTTAAATACTAGCTTGATAAATTTCACACACTTTGAAATATCTTCTTTCTTCCTTATATATAATTCCATCAATATCATTATTATCAATTCTTCACAAAATCGGATGAGTATAGCAATGTCCGCAGCAATATTCCTTCTTAATTGTTGTGCATTCACATATTCCTTTGCACAAATTGATTTCATTGATAATTGTATATACGTCCAATATATACTTTTGGTTTTTGATTGCAGTTCATGTTGGAATAATTAAACAATGAAAATGTACTACAGCAATTATACTTTTTTTGCAATGAAATTGAAAAACGTATACGTATCAATAAATATTTGTAAACGTATGGACTGTTTCTTGCTGTTCTATGCATTTTTAATTCATTGTAAAGTATGGATCACTCATTCCTTTACACTTACAATTATAAATTTTTATAGTATCTGTTTAAAAGCAGCTTTGTTCTTGCAAATCAAACAAGCTCTTACATCAGTCCAATATCAATTGCATCCAGTATTTTATCAGAAATCAATGCTGTAGTTAATAAAAATTCTTTCGCCATGTACCACGGCCTCTTGATCTATATCCACCTCTTCCTCCAGATCTATTACCTCTAAATCTAACTCGCCCTAAAAACAAACAAAGCCAATTAAGTTTCTCTCTTAATTATAAAGTAGAATTCATTTATTAAATTTTATTACTATTGTTATATGCTTACCATAATTTGATGATATATTTGAGCTATATTTTCCACTAGGAGGCGTATATATTTCTCTTTTGTTATTTTTATCTTCCTTCATACGTTTATTCGTATTACTGTCATTTCCAAATGTAATTGGTGTATGTCTTTTCTGAGTAGAATTTTTCTCATTCTGAAATAAAATTAATACATTAAAGATTAAAATGCACACTCGTTTATAATTTATATTATTTGTAAAATCTTTTATGCTTATAACTGGGTTGAAGAAAATTAACTACCTTCTTGTCATTGCAATGTGTCTTCCATGAAAGATGTATAATACTTTTAAAGCTTGGAGGTGAGTGAAATAGATCTTTGATTAAGGTATTGATGTTATTGGTTGTCTTCAATGCAACAACTTTCAATTGATTTTCATCAGATTTCAATTCCTCCTCGGTTTTTCCACTAATAGCTTCTCGTAATTTCTTTATATATCCTTGAATACCTCTTGCAAAATATTGTAATCTTAATCGAAATTCTTTTAACTGCTCTGCATCCTTTATCAAAAATTCGGGAGTTTGTTTACACAATTTATGAAATGCATACATCAAACATTCCACGTGACTAAATTGTAGCTTTGGTACATCAGTAATTTCTGCAGCAGGAGGAAGTGGCATATAGGTCTAAAATAAACAAAGTAACAAAATAACATAAATAGTAGCAAATAACAAAATATAAACATTAGGTCTTTCATTACACAATAATTATATCATATCAGTCCTGTAGTAAGATAGGTTACATTACTTACAATAAGTGTGTTATAAAGCTGCTGCACTTTATCTTCGGGTTTCTCAATGGTACCGCAAAACACGGTTAACTCGGCAAGCAATTTTAATAGTTCCAACTGAATATCTCTACCATCGGGAGAAGTCATTAAGGAAAGATGTGGTAGAACTTGTACGCAAATGTAGGAAACAAATGTTGATGAATCAATTTGTGACTAAAAAGAATAATTTCCATAAAAGCATGCATCATTAATTGCATAAAAACATATGGAAATATTAAACATTATCTCAAAGTATATCTAAATGTTTATGAGAAATATATAAATATATACATACACTGAAAAATGGAAGAGCATGTTTAATACATTGAACTAGTCTGTTCCATTGCTCGATATTAGTATGTTTAAAAGGTATACCCAATTCTGCTTGTTCTATTATTATGTCAACCAGTTCTTGTTGTCCAGTAACAGTTGATCCTAATCTAGTCCATCCAAGAATTTCCATGATGCTGTGAAATTCATCAGCAGTTACATCCTGTATAAAAGAGAAAAGGATATAAGCAATAATTGAAAAAAAAACAATGTTAGTTTTAATATAATATAAAATGACAGTCAGTTTCAATATAAGAAACTAATAAAATATTACCTGCAGTACTTTTTTACATTCAGCAATTAATAAATCTTCTGGTTCCTTAGTTATAACATCATGTCCTATTGCTTTAAGTTTAGTAGCTAGGAATTTTATACAACGTTCTCTTGTTCCATCATCACCATTAATAATTTGACTGAAAAATCCACTTATAGTACCTACAAATGTAAAATTGTTTTTAGGTATATAAATAATACATAAATCATAATAAAAAATATTTTATTTTTAAATATCTTCACATATACATCAATTGATGTACTATCAATTGTGATATATTAACATTTTTACCTTTTGGATCACTCTTCATGAGTGACATAATACTGTTATGTACAACAGCTAATTCTGTAGAATCCTGAGCCTGCAATAACTGTGCCAAGATATCTGCAATTCTTGCTGTATGTTCCTTGTTATCTTTGCAAAGCGCTGGTAAATCCTTAATAGCCTGCTTTCGAATCTGTAAGACATAACAATTTTACTTTATTATTTTTACATTATTAAATCAACAAACTACTTTCAATTTAGATCAAATAAGATAAAAATATTTAAAAATATATATAACAATGATTGATCTAAAATATATATAAAACTTACAGCCAAGTCTTCATCCTCACATAAATCTAAGTGAGCATTTATAGCTTGATCTGCTAATTTGGGAAAATGTTTGAAAAATCTTGCAATAAATTGTGATGCCAGTCGTTTCTCCTTAGGTGATCCTTTAACTGCTGTTAGGATTTCCAAATACTCTTTTTCATGCTGCAAATTCGAATTAAATGTAAATACTGTATTTTTAAGAGTTATGTGAAGTAAAATCGAATAATTATCATGACTTCATGCGTTGTTTAACTAATATAACAGTTTGTATTGTAACAATTTACGAGATTCGCAGTAATAACGTAATGCCCCGGCGTACACACGAGGCACTCATATTTTCCTCTTTCTCGAAGTGCACCCGACATATTTCATACAAGAAATGATTTATATAATATTTATTATTAAGATAATAATAAACATATTATTAAAATAATGATGTATAAATAGAGATGTATCCAGAATAAAATGTCTTCTACTTCCGTGTTCGACGAAGTATGGTAATACTACATAACCAATAAAGAACTTACCTCTGGCAATTTCTCTTTAGCATCTGCTAGGATGCCAAAATTCTTGTATAACTTCTCAATACTGTCAGTACTCATGATGAAAGTTACGTTCAATCCTTTATGATCGAAATTACGATATACATACAGAAAATAACTTGAAAAGCACAAATTTAACCCGACGCCTAACCCGCTGAACACGCTCAAGACGATTAAAATGGCGGTCTATGAAATAATATCCCTAACTGCAAGCAGAGAGAAATCTGAGAGCAGTCACTAGCTTGATTTTGGTGACCAGAGTTATGGCTCCTGCTCACAGGACGTGGCAACGCTTGCCGCACAGCGGAAGTTCGACAGCCAATCAATATGCTGCTTTCCGTAATAACCTTGTAGCTCTCATGGAAAAACAACATATTGATTGGCTATCGCGCGGACTTCCGCCGCGCGGCAAGAATTACCGCATCCTGTGTGCAGGAGCCATTAGACGACAGAACATAGGGCGTTCGGAGTCCATATATACTATTCCGTATTCTGAACCCTCTTTTATCGATAAAAGTGCCTTAAATATAGTTTCTCAGCCAATCAGGTGATTCTTAAGCCTCTTTTAGAGACACTTTTATAGGTAAAAGAGGATTCAGAATATGGGCCTTTGTCCATGGTGCGTATGCATCTATACAAATCCGTTTGGATAGGCCTTTACTAATGACTGTGTTCAACAAAGAAAGCTACTTTGCGACTATTGTAAGATTTGTGAATCTGATTGGTGTATGCTATTGAAGTTACTCAAGATTAAAGTATAGACCAATCAGTTTCATGAAATTTACATGTTTGTAAATCGAAAAGTAGTTTTCTCTGATGAACACAGCTATTAAATATCAATTGCATTTCGAAATGCATCAAATAAAGTGTTGCAACCGTCCAATAAGAAAATTTGTCCCGAATAGAAAAATATATGATTACAGTATTTGTGCTCCGTTTTGTAATATGTAGAAGCTCATGGAGGACTTTGGACTAGTCGTCATAATTGCCACATTGATTTGATTGTCTTTTACAGTTTAGAGTTACGTGTGTTTAGAGTTACTTGAAAGTCAGAGAAACATAAATTTCTATAACAATGTTTTCTACTTACTTCAGAGCATTACGAGCTTCTAACAAAGTGAGCATTTATTCCACAGATTCGTTCTGCGATTTTCGTTCTTCGATTGTTTCGCTGTTTAGTACTCATATGATCCATATTTTGCATTTACTAAACATTACGATCTTAAAAATAAATTGTAAATTTCGACACTAGCCACGTCCTATTAATATATCTGCAAGCAACATAGACAATTTAATTATTTTTACTTATTGGTCAAATAAACATGACTACAGATTTTCTCTTGATTTATAGGTTAAGTACTTTCTTGTCAGTTGAGATTTCTCAAGTTCTTATTGGAGACTTTTAAAAAATGTATAGTTGTTAAATAACAGTATAAGTAGCGAGAATTTAATAGTAAATCATTTTTCACATATGTTATTTATTTTTAGTTTGGCTTATTGGTACGTAATGAATCTACTTTAGTTATTGCGGAGCACAATAATGAAAGTTTGTTACCTATCACAAGTAATGTACTGACAGCTGCTAAAAAAATCGGTGGTGATGTAACTGTATTAATTGCTGGCTCTAAATGCCAGACAGTAGTACAAAGTGCATGCAAAGCCCAGGGTGTCTCCAAGGTTCTTCTTGCAGACAGCGATGTGTTTAAGGGATTTACTGCAGAATCACTGACACCACTTGTAATCACACTATGTAATGAACATAAGTTCACACACATATTAGCAGGTGCAAGTGCATTTGGTAAAGCTTTGCTCCCTAGGGTTAGTAGAGTTAATATATCATTTTATATATTTGAACAAAATATTTCTTATAACTTATATCTGTATCATCTATATTAATTTACAATTAAATTGTAATTTAATTATAATTAAATTAATTTACAATTTAATTGTAATTTAATTGTATTACAATTAAATGATTAATTAATTTGCACTAATATACAATTTGTATTTTGATTTAAGATTGCAGCTAAGTTAGATGTATCTCCAGTGAGTGATATTATTGACATAAAAACATCAGATACGTTTGTACGTACTATATATGCTGGCAATGCCATTCAGACTGTCAAATCTAAAGACAATGTGAAAATAACAACTGTAAGAGGTACTTCTTTTGCACCAGCTCCTTTAGAAGGAGGTGATGCAAAGTGTGAAAATGTGGCTACTGATAGCTACACTGCAAACCAAGTACAATATATTAAACAAGAGCTTAGCAAATCCGACAGGCCAGAATTAACGTCCGCGAAAGTTGTAATTTCTGGTGGACGTGGAATGAAGTCTGGAGAGAACTTCAAGTTGTTGTATTCATTGGCAGATAAGCTTAACGCGGCGGTAGGAGCATCTCGTGCCGCTGTCGATGCTGGATACGTACCAAATGATTTGCAAGTAGGACAGACTGGCAAAATAGTTGCTCCTGTAAGTGGAATTAATTACATAGAATTTTGCTATTATATACAATATAACATTACAATGTACAATATTTACAATTTATATACAATATTTATAATTTATATACAATATTTGATATGTACAATAATGTCGCAATTGTGGATTTAGGACTTGTACATAGCGGTAGGAATTTCGGGAGCAATTCAGCATCTTGCTGGTATGAAGGATTCCAAGACTATTGTGGCCATCAACAAGGATCCAGAGGCTCCAATTTTCCAAGTAGCAGATTATGGATTGGTCGCAGATCTATTTAAAGCTGTACCCGAGCTCACGGAGAAATTGTAAATTACATATCGTCCAGATAAATAAATGTGTATTTTTATATAATTAATTTTGTTACGCTATATTGTTAGTACGATAAGAATATATACAATTAAAAAATACGTCATAAAAAATTCCTCTGCTCTTTTATTTTTCCATCATTAGCTAAATTTTTAGTATCATGGTATAAGGTTAGTATGTATCGATTCATATTGAGGTTAGATAGTTTCATACGAGTAGTGTGAAGGTTTAGTTTGTGCTGATAAAAATCGATATAAATTCATACAACAAAGCACAATTAAGAACATAAGTGCTGGATACGATTGTAAATTGGTAATTTCTTACACAAAGGTAATGTACTTCATAAATTTTTGTTGTTTAATTATATCTTTTAACTCAAACGATTATCACAGGTTATATTTATTTAATAGAGTCAGAAGAATATTGCTTTATAAAATCTTTATAAAATTGCAGAATTTTCATTTATTAAAAGTGTATTATTTGAATAATATTGTTATATTTTCTATTATTGTCAATATTTATTCAAATATTTTTTATTATGGATTTTTTATATTATGTATACTACCTTGACTTACATGCAATTTTTATTTTGTACATAATAAATTAATATAACGAAAATTTATCTTTATAGAAAATGCAAAATATTCGCCAATGTATGAAATATCTAGCATTATGTAGTAGATCTATCATAAATAAGACATGTATTTTATCAAATGCAACAAGGACAAGCAATTTTATACCAGCATGCAGTTTACATCTTTCTTCGACATGCAACACAAACTTAAGAAAATACAAGTCCCCGAATTTTTTTCTTCAATATAACAAGACCATTTTCCCACCACAAAAGCCTGATGAACCAAGAAGACCTGCTGTATGTCATGTTATATATAATATTAAGTAACTTACTTGATAATCAATTATGCACATATGTTTGTCTTTCAGTATGTATGTCATATGAAAGCTAATATCAAGTATAGTCTTAAAAAAATGTGGTATATCGCATCTTTCGTGAGAGGTATGTCAGTGGATGAAGCTGTGAAACAATTGAGCTTTATATCCAAAAAAGGTGCTGCGATTGCAAAAGAAGTTATTTTAGAAGCTCAACGCTTAGCTGTGGAGGAACACAATGTAGAATATAAAAGCAATTTATGGATAGGTGAGTAAAAAAAGCTTGTTCTTAATACATGCACACAAATGTTATACATAAAAAATTATGAACATCCAATAATTCAATACTAAGAAAACTAATCTGATTTTGCAGCAGAGTCATTTACAACCAAAGGTGTAGTAGTAAGAGGTATACGGCGTCATGCTAAAATGCGCATGGGACATATCCGTTATGGATATTGCCACTATTTTGTACGCTTAGAAGAAGGACCACCCCCGAAACATTATTATCTACCGGAGCCTAAGAGTGGTGAAGAGTTGTTGGAAGACTGGTTAAAGCAAATGCATATGCGTAAAGTGTCGAGTTCTCTGTAATTACTGATATATGGAAATTAATATACACAAATATACATGAATATGTAACGAGGTCTTTTTATTTTAACTTTAATTTCCAATAGGAGGTACAGAGAACTTATTACAGCTTCAATTTGGTTCTCCTCCAGTGTCGCCTCTTAGCATTGTACCTGAAAATAACACAAAAAATCATTTACAAATAATGGTATTTAACCTCTTGAGCACTTTGCATCATGTAGACACATGTAGCAGAAAGTTAACTTTATAGTACCAACAATACAGAAAAGAATGTATTAAACGCATTGATTTGGCGATATTTGGTAATATAAAAAATAGCAATATTTACACAGATACACATGGAAAAAGCAATTAACAATGCACAGTTAAAACATTTGATATATAGATATCTTAGAGAGAGAAAATTTGAAAATTTACATAAAATTTCAAAATAAAACAAATTTATCGATTAGAATTGAGATACTTAAATTTAACTTACCGGATAGTATTGCCGGTCCGCATTCTCACCCATTGTGGGATCGGTCTGTTTTGCTTCAGCTTTTTCGCAAGCTTCCGCTTGATAATGAATGTCTTGTGCGCCGACTGAAACACAAACGAAATGAGATTAAAACTTGTAAATGCACTTGGCAAATGTATATTCGCGTGAAATAATAAGATGACGATAAAATAGACGGATATCCCGCACACTGAACTTACCATCGTGCTCGTCGTATTTCTCGCACTTGTCGAAAGAGTAATGGAAGATGCACGCGTTGTTATTAAAGAACCTAGACAAAATAATCTGTAGAAGAGCATACGATGCTTCGCTAAACACATGCAGTTGGAAACTGAGCACGCACCAAATTAAGGAGAATTCACATTGGCCTGGGATTATGGCTCCTGCACACAGGACGCGGTAATATTTGCCGCGCGGCGGAAGTCCGCGCGACAGCCAATCAGTATGTTGTTTTCCGTAAGAACTAGAAGGTTATTACGGAAAGCAGCATATTGATTGGCTGTCGCGCGAACTTCCGTCGCGCGGCAAGTATTACCGCGTCCTGTGTTCAAGAGCCAATACACGACATTTTCCCGAAAACTAGATGGAAAAATGTTGGTACCAACAAAAACCTCTAATGCCTAATTTCTTCACCTCCGATTAACTTTATCTGTCGGATAAATGTCAAGCGTGATTGATTAATCTTGCCAACCATAAATATGATTGGTCAATCCCAATAGAATAACTGGCAGATAAAGTTAGCCGGAGGTGAAGAAATTGGGCATATGTAACACAATTTTAATTTCTATGGATTAGTGACAGTTTGTTACTTGACACTTATGCAGGATTTATACCGCGTCCAATATCCAACTGTACAACGTCTGATATCCAATAAGAGAACAGCTTTCTAATATAGAATTCAATTCTCTATTGGAAAGCTATTCTTTTATTGGATATCGGACGTCGTACGTCAGACATCGAACGCGGTGTGAATCCTGCGATACACACGCATATGTCTCCGCAAAACGACTCCGCAAAATTCATGGATTTGCTACTTCAACAGTATCACTAATCCACAGAAATTAAAATTGTTGTCTAGGGGTTTTTGTTGGTACCACCATTTTTCCATCTAGTTTTCGGGAAAATGTCGTGTAACCCTTTGCAATGAAGAATTGAATTCTCTATTAGAAAACTGTTCTCCTCCAGTATGTGGCCAATAAAATGGTTTTGCGTGACGTAGCGTTGTTTGCTGAAAAATGGCCTCGTTAAACGTTGAGAATGCAAATTAGAGGTTCGTATTCTCAGCTCTAACTTTGCTTTTATTGGTTAAATTCGCAATTAAAATTCCACATCTCCGATATGGATTTTAAGGTGTGTAACGCCTAGAAATTCCCTATATGATAACCAATCCGTATTCAACAAGTACTACGTGTGTAGTGTCATTTTCAGATTGATATCTGACAGAACCTCTGTAGCTTTAGGTTTCGGACTGATCGAGTGTCATTAAAGCGAGAAGTTTTAGACGTCGCAAAGATTTCTCGTTGATGTATAACAGGTTTGTTTAAAAAATACAACGATCAGGTTCGTGAGATAATACGTTTTGCTCCATTTTTGACTGTTGTTTCGTGTAATATCGTTCTTAATGGCGCTTGACTGCTTTCCTCGTGAGCTCGTCTGCATTCCGACCACCGTTCGGCTGCCGTGACGATATTCATGACGTAATTAAGTTATACTATGGTGGTATGTTAGTTGTGAATTCTCGTTTGGCGATTTATTTACCATTTTGCCCTGTCACCGCGATTGAGTAATAAAACGTGAAACTCTTGGCACGTCCCGACGGACAAAATGGATAGCAACAAGGATGAGGCAGAACGATGCATGGAATTCGCGGAACGTTACATGCGAGAGAAGAAATACGAGGAAGCGGAAAAGTTCGCTCGTAAAGCTCAAAAACTTTACCCGATGAAAAAGTCTGAAGGTATGTAGACAGCTTTGGAATTTTTACAACAGTGGAATAGGTAGTATTAAGGAAGTTTACCTGTATAGTTCATACCAAAAAATTATTGAAAATTAAAAATATGCTAATATTTTCCGTATGTAAACGTATAGTATCCATTTATGACACAGTTGAACAATAATATATTTTTACTTTAATATAATATTTCTAATTATTGGGTTTTATTTTATAGTATTTCTGACAAATTTTTATCTCTAAACATATGTGTACAAAAATTGAGATTTTTTAAATTATCTTTTCCTTTACTATAGCAACATTATATATTTTCATAACAGCATGGTTTAAAATATTCCCAAGTAACAGAATGGAATCAAGTGATAGATTAATGATTATTGATATCAGAGATAACATTATTGTATTATTGAAAAATCATTTGATGTTTTCATATTTTTATTGAGCTTATGTTTTAAAGTAGAATAACTTTTGATCCTGATTCAGAATCAAATAAAATTGTGATCACACACACACACATATACATTCAGATACAATATAGATTAATCTATAACTTCTTTAAAGTTTTTTTCATTAGTTTTGAAAGTTGGGTAATACATCCTTAATGCTGATCTCTTGTGTTATATATATATATATATATATATATATATATATATATATATATATATATATA